GGGGACTGATGAGCGTTGACTGCTGCTGCTCTTACGTGTCACGGAGATCTCTAGCACAGGGTAAGTGTGATCGTTATTGGTGCGGTAACTGTATTTAAAGTCTCCTTTCTCGACTCTAAGGAAATATCTCCCCGCATCCGTTCGTCGGGCGTCGCTGATTTGCAGGGAGCAGTCGCCGGGCGCCGGATCCCCCGTCAGCCGAAACCGGCCCTGGGTGTCTTGCGACACGTTCCGGCTTGGGTCATTGCTGGCCACGGGAGGATCATTGTGCACATTGACTGGATCCTTGTACCAGTATCTGTAGAGCTGGGCCGAGGGATTGTTGGTGTCGTACGAGGCTGGGTACGTGAAGTTGCAGGGGACGAGAACGCAGAGACCCTCCTGCACCGACACCGACTGCGGCACCATGAGGGAATAACCAGACTCCAGGGACAGGGACCCTGCAGGGGACAGCCAGGGATTGAAGTGAGACCCATAGAGAGCAGAGACCAACCTGAGCTTCCCCGACAGCTCTGCCGGTGCCCCTCACTCCCGACGTGCAGCCCCCTGCGAGCCCAGCCCTGGGTCTTTGACCAATTCTCACTCCATTTAGTTTCCATTCCTCCCTCCATCGAGGCCCCTGCCCGCTCCCTGTCACTCAGCGCCCCCTAGCACCACAATGGGGCATTGGGCTCCCCTCCCCCTCTGGCCAGTCTCCCTTCCAAGTCCTGGGACAGACCCGGCCCCGCTTAACACAGGTTCTGCCCTTCCCCCTGCACTGGGGCTGCAGGTGCCGCTTACTTACCCCTCCAGAGCAGGGCGAGGAGCAGGACCCTCAGCGTGGCAGGACCCCCTGCTCTCCAGAGGGGGCCCTGAGGCGGGAGCTCCCTTTCCCCGGCGTCGTGCTGTGGCGGCAGGACTCTGCCCATGGCTGGGGCATCCGGCTGGGACAGACCTAGAGACAGAAGGGGGGTGAGAAGTGTGAGAGCAGAGGCTGTTTGGGGGGGGACAGATCTGTCTGGGGGACGGCTGGGACAGACCTAGAGACAGATGGGGAGTGAGAAGTGTGAGAACAGAGGCTGTTTGGGGGGACAGATCTGCCTGGGGGACCATCAGTACTGCTGCGCTCTGCAGGGGGCTGATCTGGGGCTGCTGGCACTGTAGTGACCCCCCCGCCCAAATCCCCAGATGGTCCTGAGAGATTGTGGGCTAAAAAAAATCCTTAAATTGGTGAAAAAAAACTGAGATTTTCTCTAAGAATCATGAGAGCGGCCAGAAAATCCTGATCTGGTGACAGAAGATGGTGGGAAGGCAGCGCTGGTCAGTGCCTGCTTTGCTTCAGTCTTCCCACAAAAAAACAACATGTGAGCAGGCGACCAGCTCTGGAGAGATTAATAAGTCTGGAACTGATCAGCTTGGAAAGGAGACGACTAAGGAGGGATATCTTTGAGGTCTAGAAAATCATGACCAGTGTGGAGAAAGTAAATAAGGTAGTATTATTTATTCCTCCTCATAACACAAGAACTAGGAGTCCCCAAATAAATGAATAGGCAGCAGGTTGAAAACAAACAAAAGGAAGTATTTCTTCACACAACGCACAGTCAACCTGTGGAACTCCTTGCCTGAGGAGGTTGTGAAGGCCAAAATTATAATGTGGTTCAAAAAAGAACTGGATAAATTCATAGACAATATGTTGTTACCTAGCAGCTCTGTGTTCTTGGGGAACCAGGGTGCAGTACCCAGCCCGTCTGACTCACGAAAGACCTTTCCCCCCCGCCTCTGCTTGAACCAAATGTGCATCAGAACAAAGACTTACAGAAAGCAATGAAAAAGCAGTGGGAGACACACCTAAATTCCTCTGGACAAGGGTGAGAGAATTAAGGAACCTCTCCTAGCGTCAATTGCATTGAAGATGGGACAAGGAGGCATCTCCATTAGCATACAGAATGGAGAACAGAGAACCGCACTGAACTCTGGGACCAGAAAAGCAGGGAAGCACTGCATCATGGGGGATCTCTGCTCCAGATGTTAATGAACCCAAGCCTGCCCACACCCAGCTCAGCAGTTATCAGACCAATTCTAGTAATGAATCCTTGATTGGTATCCAAAATAGTGAAGCTCCCTAATTGCATTGTGAGCTCCCTCCAAGGAACACTGTCCATAGCCAGGAATCATCAGCTCCCATTTTCTAGCCTGAACAAAACAATGTTGGTATTCTCCCTTGCTTACACATAAACAAATTTAGTCTTCTCCCTTGAACCATTGTTGTTTCCCAACAAAAAACCTCTACCCATCCTTAAGTTCCACTCGGATTTCATCTTCTCCTGACTGACCGTGCTGGGGGCTCTGCCTGTCTCCAGCACTCCAGAACCTCAGCTACCACCATCACCTGGGACCCCCGACCAGTTCAAGCCTCATGGAGCGGTGAGAACCCATCTCTCTCTCTCTCTAGGTGTAGCCTTCTGACCCTGACTTGTGTGATCAGTTAGAGTTTTGTAAACCTGACTTTTTCACCAAGTTTAAGTTAGATTTAATATTATAACTGTTTTGTTTGGTTGGCTCCCCTATGGTTATTACCTGTCAATAGATAACTTTCATGATTAAGGTGGTTGCCTCTCTCTCTCTCTCTCTCTCTCCTCCTCGCCCCGTGGATGTTTTTTGGT